TTTGGCCAAGAATGCAGTATGCCTTTTTCCTTTTAGTACACCTGAATTGTATCATTTAAAATCTGCCATGTTTATTTGGGTTCTTTGATGTATTGATTTATCTTCATTGCCAGGTTCTTACCTCATTTGCATCAGGACGAGCAACCTCTCTAGTAGTTGACAGGTAGGAGTTTGGGAGTAGCTACAGTTAAAGTATTATTGTAGCTCCTCTGATTTTGTAAAGTTGATTTCTTGTTATAAGACTTTTGTTCATACTGTAGTGCATCTTATAACTGCTAATTGCTGACCTTTACAGTGGGGGAGGCTCAACCACTGTTGCCCCAGTGCATGATGGTTATGTCCTTCAAAAGGTAAATCTTGTCAGTTTGAGCATAGTTGATTTCCTTGACTGTTGGTTAAGGTACTAAGAACTTTTAGCATGATTTCAACTACGGGTATATGGTGAAGACTATATCTTTAATTGTTTGTGCTTGTTGTGTGGATCTAAGTAGAAGTAGAAATCGAAGAAACACTATGGCCCAGTTTGGTTTTTTAACACTTTCAATGAAAAATAAGTTTTTATAGAAAACACATTTTGAAGGAAAACCACAGTTGCAAATTAATTTTCCTTTGTTTGTTTCCATGAAGAAAAGTTACAGAAATTTAAAATAGGGGTGGGAATGTGAGGATGGAGGAGAGGAAAGTAAAAAAGTAGGTAAGGAGGAGGGATGGAAAATGTAGCTTTCCTTGTTTTATAAAGTAAACTGTTTTCCATCATTAAGGATGCAATTTTCCACTATTGGAAACATTGTTTTCCACCTCTTCACAAACCAAACAAAGGAAAATGAGAAAAAAATGGGAAAATTATTTTCCATGAAAACATTTTACATCAAACCAAACGGGGCCTATATGGGAAGCCATAAAGTTAGAAATTCAAAAACTGAATTAAACTGCTATTTTTCTAGAAATCTTAAGTACTAAGGTATGCTATTATTAAAATTGTTGGATTAAGGTATAAGAGTTGTATAGTTAATGTTAATACACTGTTAGACAAAAGGTTTGGTTTGACTCAAACAAAAATTATGAAGGGAAAGAAAAATCTGGTTATTTAATGAAGCAGGTTGGCCCAAGTTTTCTCTCTTTCAAAATGGAAAAATGTAGCCTCTATAAGAGTTTGTGTTCATCAAAGGCGTGGAAAGCTATTTATGTGTTTAATTTTATGTGTCCAGCCAGGTGTTCTGAATAATTTATTACTGACGCAATAACTGAAATATTATATTTTAGTTTGTGTTACTGAGTATTAAACTAGCCTTTTTTTTCTTTGTTGCCATTATATCTTATCTGTAATCTCATTTAGGCTGTATTGACTTCACCAATTGGAGGAGAATTTCTCACTGACTGCTTGACAAAAAGCTTGGAGAGCAAAGGCATCATTGTAAGTTTCAAGGAATTATTTTTGTGTCTTTTTTCATGATTTGAGCATGTCTCATGTTGTTTGTATCCAATTTGACAGATCAAGCCTAGGTATTCTTTTAAAAGAAAGGAGATACGTCCTGGGGAATTTCAGGTATTTGTCACTGCTTGACCTTCCCTGCCCAGCCTATGATAAGATGTATACTGAGATGTTCCTGTTGTTGGTTTACTTGGATGCACACTTTCACTATGTGTCATCCATACTAATGCATGACAAATGAATTAGTTTTGAACTTGACTTCAATTTGTATTTGTGCGTGTATATGTGCACACGCAGGGGGGTGTATAATAGGCATTTATTTATAGATACTTTAAAATAAATTTTATTTACTACTTTCTCTTCATGTTGGAACCATACAGACTGTTGATCTTGATTTTCCAAATACAACAGAAAGTTACAGGCTCTACTGTCAGGTATGTTAAAGTTGCTTTTTATTTATTTATTTTTTCTCTCACTTGATTTTGCATCATTGAATGCTTTAAGAATCTTTTGTTTTACAGAGGGTTATTGCCAGTGACATTAAAGAGTGTGTGTGTCGAGCACCTGATACACCTTATGATGGTTTGTGTTTCTTTCCCATTCTTTCTCTCATTTCTTTATTATTTGCTGTGTCTTTTGTTTGGAAAGTGTAGACTATTGTACAGATTTGGTTTTGTTCTGATATATATCCAACCTTCTTTACTAAGCTCTAATTCTTTGTCCTCGTTAAGCATTTTTTTGGATCATGTTTGCAAATAGAGATATGAGCTTTCTTGGAATATAGGAATGAACTGATACTTTTTTCCATGTGTCAATCTCTTTTAGTATATGGACTAATTTTTGTTCACTGGTGCCTGCTATTTTTTTTGGAACCCGACCACTCAATAGCTGGTTGATATTTGTGGTTGAATAATGCTGCATTTGCTCCTTTTTATTGTTTTTAGTTTCAAAGGACTATTTCTTGACTGCTTTTTTTAGTTCTATCATGCTTTCTTATGTTTTTTGCAATACAAGAGGTATAAAACTGTAAGATTGATGGTCATGCTGATCATCTGTTTGGTTTTAATGTGTACTATCATCAATAGTTTAACATGGGTGATGGGTGTAGAATATAGACACTTGACACACCAGCCAAAAGCATGAAATCTTGCACGAGTCATTTGAGTTAATCTCTCCATGTCTGATTAACACAGGGTACAGAATGTTAATTTCAAAGATAATTATATATTATGTCTCTTACTTTGGAGGTTATCATAATTTTCTCACCCATTTTTTGTGTGGTTTGAAATATACTGTTGGTGTGATGAAGATCATTCGAAGTATCTGTGACTAGATTCTCATTAGTACCCGCAAATGGTCATTCTTTTACGAGTGACAAATACATACGAATTTTCTTTTATCGCGTGTTCTTTACAAACATTTGCATTTACTGTGTTACTCCTTCCATTCAATTATTTCTACATGAACCAATTTTCAAATCCCATGTAATCCATTATTTTGAAATACCAATTCAATGAAATATTTGTGCATTTAAAGAAATTTATTCAGGAATAGGGATTAGTTATTGTTGTTTATATATCGTATTCATTCTGCTTCTTTTGACTGGGTTTTTTTTATTTATTTTTTATTTTTTATTTTTTAAATTTTATTTAATTTAATTTATATATATATTTTTTATTTTTATAATTCATTCTGCTTCTATCTCTCTTTATTGCATAGTTTTGGGTATAATCTTTGAATTATAATGATCCCGGAATCAATTAAGCTTTCCCCCCCTTTTACTGTCATTTAAAATTATCTGATTTTGCTAATGTTGTTACAGAAACTTCATACTCAAATATTCCTATGACGCCGTATGAGCTTCCTGATGGACAGTAAGTTGTTAGCAAGCTGTTAAGAATTAACTCATTTATTATATGCTTATAGTTGGAGATTACCTTTTGCATAAGCATATTTGTTTTGAAGATACAACAAGAATTAACTCTTTCACCTGGAATTTTGAAGGACTGCTGGCAACCTTTACATGTCTCATATATATATATATATATATATATATATATATATATATATCAATATTAATTATCATGCAAAAATAAAATAAAAATCATAGTGATTCTTTTATTGAGGGGATGAAACCATGTGACATTTTTTTGGATGGAGACAGTGTTAGTCTAGCTGTCTTTTGAACCTGTATACTCATAGACTCTGTACAGTAAATTATATCAATGATGGTCATGCATGCTTATTAACTGTGCAAATATCGCAGGACAATTGAAATTGGATCAGATAGGTTCAAGACTCCTGATGTTTTATTCAACCCATCATTGGTTCAGGTAGTGTTTATTGGATTTGATGCTTTCCTGGACCTTAAGCTCTTACCATATGTATGGTTCTCTTTGTCAAGTGCTCATTCATTATCATTTCGGGATATAATTTTGTTCATTAGTTTTCTTAGGGGCTTTTTGTAAGGTAGCTATGAGAAAGAGGGTGTGGAGTGGCTTAATTCTTTCTGTATGTTTGTCTCACAAATATTTTTTTCCCTTTCTCGAATTTGTAGAATAGAATTACCACAAAGACCTCTACTCAGACTCCACTCTCTTTCCATCCCATGGGATTTCAATTCCGTAATTCCCACTGCCGCCTCACAATCATCATACTTTCCTCCCAATCATACCACTGTTACTGTGTTACTTCTTTTCCACCCAGCCACACCATCATAAACCCCACCGTCCAATTCTTTTATTGCCCAACACTATCATTGTCATGTCCCCCAACTATCAGAAAATCACAGCACAAACAATGCACATCAGGATTCAACCTATTAAAGAAGTGAAATGGAGAGATATGGGTAAAGTCATCCCCCAATTTTTTTTCCCAACATTTAGAAGCCAGATTTACCACTTCTGAGTAGGGCAAAAAATCAGATTAACAATACAAGACATTGAGAGAAGGATGATTCCAATTTGATTATGACTTTGACCATGCCCAACCACTACTGGCCACAATCGCATAAAAAGAAAGAGTAGATTGAAGAAAATGCAAAATATATTTTATATTAACTTTTAACATAATGCTGCCTTACTAAGTAGAGGTATGATGCCTAAGTGCTGCATACTCTGTTTCCTGTAGTCTATTTTAATACCCCATATCATTTGTATTCAACTTGTGTTACTACTTAGTGACAATTTTCATTTAATATAATGTCTGCCTATTTGTCTGCAGACTATTCCTGGCATGGAGAGTTATGTAGAGACCGCTGCTTCAGCCCGTGGTTTGCCCCAGATGGTAATTTCTGTACTTTTGTTTTTCAATTGATAATCATGCATAAAATTCCTCTGATATGTTTGATATTCGTCTTTCTGGTAAAAGAAAATAAATACTCTATATGTGAAAAACTATAATATTAGTCCCCTTAATTAATAGCTTGCATCGAACACAAATTTCAAATTTCTGTTCCATTTCTTTGAAAATTGTTCTTACCCTATAGATTAAGCTTGATTAATACTTACTTGAAGCAAAAATGTAAAACTGCTATTACATTATTACACAAGTAGATATATTCTTCATAAACTTCATGCTTCTTACCCAAATGCTAGGCTTTTTTTTAGGCCAAAGGATGAAATGAAACAGTATTTTACATTTAAAATTTGCTTGGGACATTTGAATATAAGAATATTAAATTGGAGAAAAATTGCACATTTCAGCACATGAAATCATTTTGTGGAAAAATGGTGGCCATATATGTTTGTTTACGTTAATAATACGAGGAAATTTTTAAAGCTTTTAAACTTAGAAGAGTGGTCAAGCATTGTTACACTTAATTACTGAATGGGACTGAGATCCTTGTACTAATTTTGTTTAATGTATTCCATTCTACTTTTTGGTAGGAATCCGATGGAAAAATCTTCAAATACCTGAGAATTTTAGTGTTATTTCAGATTTTTCATACTTTGTAAATATTCATGGCTTTGATATTCAATGCAGGTTATTGAAAGCATAAATAAGTGTGACGTTGACATCCGAAGAGAACTTTTCAGTAGTATATTGGTAATTTTCAAATGCTGTACACTTCCTTTGTGCTTTTATTATATATGTGGCTGGGTTTGCACACTTTATTAGACTTTCTAAAAAGTGGGTTATCTTTCTCGCAGAAAAGTTACATTTGCTGTGACTCCTTAATTTTGCACCTGTTTGAAACAGTTCCTCATTACATCCCTAATCTGCTCAAGTCACATATAGACACAAACTTGTTATATCTAATATCTGACTTTTTTTTTTTTAATAATAATAAATTAGTAGCTGTTATTATGTTGTAATATCATTGCTATTGTAAATATGATTTGTTATGTGAGCATCTCTTATGCTGCTGTGTAGTTGAACTAACTCTCCCCTTTCTTCATCTCCTGTGATTATCTGAAACCTATCTACTTTTAATTAGCAGGATATATTCAGTCAAATCTGTCTGCCATAAAGCCCATAATGTGAGAATACATCACACTAAATAAGCTCGACTTTGTTTCTGTTACGCTAATCAGTGTAATGTGTCTTCAATTCTATTGGTGTATGAGCAGAAGAGACAATTTAAAATTTTCAAAATTATGTCAAAAACTTTAAAAACAGCAGGAAGAGTTGATTTGTTGAAACAATGGGTGGGACTGCTCCACACTAAGTAATAGACCCTTTGCTGGGTTGCCAGTCCTGCTACCTCATAATGTATTCTGACCGTCTGAGCTGGATTTGTCTGCCATGCCCAACACTAAAGATTCTGACATAGTATAAATATGTTGTTCATGCCTCGATAACTGGCCTGAAGTGTCAGGGTGGGTCATGCATTAAATCTAGACCTTGTACTGAATCTAGACCGGAAGTGGGCTGCCAATCTTTATCATTTCCTTGCATTCAGTCACATTGGTGCATTGGGTTTGTTTTACATAAGATTAATTCCCTTGGTTTCTGCAAAATTTCATCAAGATTGTCAAATAACATCCATGACATTTGTTAATGTGAATCAGCATTTGTATGTTGTAATCTAAATATTGATTTCCTTTTCTTTGCAGCTTGCTGGAGGTACAGCGTCAATGCAACAACTGAAAGAACGTCTGGAGAAAGATCTTTTAGAGGTACAAACTGTATTGTCTAAACTTGTATTAAATGCTATTATAATTCAGGACCTTTACTGGACGATCAAACCCCAAACCTGCAAACATTTGAATCATCCAGCAACCTTGAATTTCAAACTGCTGTACAGATCCTAAAGCCACAAGTATGTACATTATCACCTTCCTCAATCGCATCCACCAGAGCCATAACCCTTTTAAAAAGTGTTGATCCAAATAAAACCGTCATTGAAAAATATAACCGATAGATCTCATACTAGTTAAAAATAGACCCTGTAAACTAGAGTTGTTGAGAGGAAGTATATGTATTCAATAATAAGGTACCACCACAGGCAAGCAAAGTCCCCTCATAATTACGCAAGGCACCTTAAAATAAGCTGGAGAAGGGCTCCAATCTAAAAGCACAGTGATGCAACTGAGTCCTCAAAAGAATTTACAAACCTGATATTTAGGAGTATGGAGAAAGCTGGGGACAGAATTCTGAAGAACCCCTCCCCCTTGAACATGAAGGACCTGCAAATCAGATTTTTTGTAATAATAGAAAAAATAAATCAGGGTGATTTTGCTGATTAAATGGTCAATAATTGTCGGAGTTGGACGAAAACAACAGGGAAAACCAGTGGAGTGGTCATTAGGGTTTTCCTTTCTCTTCATTCCTCTGGGAGAGAGTCCTGGTCAATGAACAGTCTTAGGAGTCTGAAGATAAAAGTAGGTACTAATTTGGGTTGAATTCTACCACCTTTATTAGGGATTTTGTTTTAACTTATTTTGACAGGTCTTGTCAAACACAGTTGGAAACACATGTTGGGATTTCATTTGTAATTATTGAAACAATCATATCACAGCTTTGAATATGTTAATACTTTTTTTTACTTGCCACTAAATCATCAAGGCGAACATGACATCCAGCTGAAAGCTTGTGTGTAGTAACCAGTGCTTATTGTGCAGGAGTCTCCTCAAGCTGCCAGAGTAAAGGTTTTGGCTAGTGGAAATGCTACTGAAAGAAGGTTTAGGTGAGTTGATTCTTTTTTCAATCTGCTCTTGTTCTCTGATACCTACAGTTCTATGCAATTGGAAAGCTCCCATGGAGTAAAGATGGGGGGATCATTGTTCTGTCATTGTAAAACGATATAAAAGAAATTGTGACTTTTAAATTTTTAATTGCCTGTTAACGTTATCATACTGGTGGATTATTAATAGAATTTGGTTCTTTGTTGGGTTACTCAATCCCTCCATGGCTTATAGGGTTATAACTGGCTTTGTCCTTGTAAATGTAACTTTATAATTTTCTTGGTGTCATTGGAACATAGCTGTAGAAAAGTTCCTTTCCATGCTAGCAAATGTTTGTTTTCCTGCAAGCTAGGGTTGATTGCTGACAATGTGCAAAGCTTATTAATAGAATGAGGTTTTGTTGTGGAATAAAATTGTTGGAATATCTTCGACATGTTATGGAACTTGATTGTACTGTTGTCCAGCACCTTGTTGCTCTCCTGATGTCTTGGAATCTCCTTGTCAAGCACCTTGTTTTTTTTAAAGGGGTGGAGCTAGAGGGGGACATGGGGGACAGCTGTCCCCACACTTTTTAAAAAAATAGTTAGTTTTATTAAATAATGCTGTGAAGGTGTATTAATATGTACAGCATGGTGTAGCGGTTAAAGACTTGTATGTAAAAGCTTTAGACGCCGGTTTGAACCCCATTAGCTTCAATCAAGCATTTTACTATAATTTTTTTTAATTTTTTTTAATGTGTAACTGTGTAAGATAGCTTCCCTTCCCTTTTTTCTTAATAATTACTCCATATATTTGCATTTTACAATCGTTATTTTTTAATCTATAAGATACTTCCTCTGTTCTTTTTTACTTGACCTGTTTCTTTTATCACGCTTGCCAATGCAAAACTTTAACGGCCAATAACTTTAATTCTTCATAATTAAAAAATATAAAAACTATATATTATGATAGTACTTATTGAGACGAATTCAAAATGATCCAACATGAATATGTTTTTCCTTACATATTATTCACAAAACACGGTCAAAAAAGGGGTGGTGAATAGTGTAAAAGTCAAAGCGGATCAAGTAAAAAAGAACAGAGGAAGTAGTATTCCTTCCCTAATTGTAATTGTAAACTTGCATTTTATTGTGAAAATAGCATTCAATTATTTAATGTTCAAATTCTTCAATGACCCATAAGACAATAAACGGTATAGGATGTTTTTTTTTTTTTTTTTTTTTTTTTTTTTTTTTTTTTTTTTTTTAAAAAAAACTAAGTTATCTGTATTTTTTTGGATTTTTTTTTTTAAGTTGTACTCCCTCCATCCCTTAATTAGATGTCTATTTAATTTCTTCATTTATTACTCAATAAAGAGAAGTAGACATCTAATAAGGGACGGGGGGGAGTAAAACTGTAGCTATTTAAATATTTGTGCATTACACCATTTTTGTCAAATTAAGTGATGTTCGTTCGTTTGTCCCCCTGATTGGAAATTCCTGGCTCCGCCACTGTTTTTTAATGCTTGCGTTAAATTTCAGTTGTGTGAATTAGCATGCAGGCATAGCATGTTTGTCCCTGCACTTATTATTTCGGTTTTCTTTCCTTTTCCTAAGTTGCTAAAGTGTCTTAAGTGACTTTTATGTGAATATGTTGTGCATCAACTCACGGGAATATTGTTCAGTGTTTGGATAGGAGGAAGTATACTGGCATCTCTTGGTTCTTTCCAGCAAATGTGGTTCTCCAAGGCTGAGTAATTTATCCTCCTTTTCCAATTGCAGATCTTTGAATCCTTGGCTTATTACTACTTGTATCACACATCATCTTTCTATCTTACGCCTGTGTTCTGGTGCAGATATGAAGAGCACGGAGCTTCTTATATTCAGAGAAAATGTCCTTGAGAAGGCAGCCACTTGGCTGTATTGCATCTGAAATGGCAAGATAAATTTATTGTCCTTATAGTTCATGAAATGGATGTGCTAGTTCACTTATTCTTGATAACATTTAGTGATTTAGATCATGTGTAACATTGCGGGAATTTATACACAACTGTAGTTAGACTGTTGCTGTAAGCCTGTAACATTAGTTATACTTCGTATATTCATTAGAAATGGCTGCGCAGTCTAAAATCTTGTTCTGCAACGTCTATTGACTTTTATTATCAGAAGTCTGTCCAATGCTCGTGACTGACATGGCTTGATTTTGCTTAATGTTGATACTTGATAGGAGTCTACCTTGGCATTGAAGATAATATTATATCCGGACTGCCGCCTGCAAGATTTTCCATCATTTGAGAAAAAGTACAGGCAGGAGGGATGAATTATCTATTGTACTAGACATGCAACCCCGATGAGAAAATGTAAATTTCATCTTTACCTAAAATTGATTAATATGGATCAGGAATGTTGTATGGTGTATTTAGTTGTCATATTTGATGGTTGCAAGAACGAATTTACCTCTACTCAGGAACCTGCGGAAGGAGAGACCCTTTTGTTTAGATTAGAATTTATTAGGCCATGCATTTTGGACATGCATATTTTCTCACTCCCCATTAACTTTGGACATGCATATTAAGAGATTTAAGGGTGAGGTGACTAAGGTGAGAAATAATAATTATAAAAAACCCCATCACAATGAACAGAAACTGATTTCACAAGAGTTTCCTGTGTCCTAAGTTTACAACTACAAGTTTACCAATGAGATAAATAAGATATAATTCCTCTACTCTTAATTACTTTCTCCGTGTTTAAATAAATGAAAAGTTTAGACTTTTACGGAGTTTAGGAAGGTTAATTGAATTTATTAAAATAATAGGTAGAGGTATAAGTTTGAGGAGAGATTTACAAAAAAAAAAAAAAAAAAACACGGCCGTAAAAGGAAAAATGTTTCATTTATTTAAACACGGAGGGATTATTTTACTATGGGGGTTTGGCACAAGTTTTTTAATAGTGGAAAAAAGATGAGAGGGAAAGGTAAAAACACAATATTTGATCCTATACATAATTAAAAAAATCAAGTGTTAAAAAATAAAAATATACAATGTGAACATCGATATTTCTTCTTTCCAAAATGAATACGGTGTAATATTTATGAAACTTCCTTAAAAAGAAAGTAATGTAATATTTTATTAAAAAATGGAGGAGTATTATTAAAAGTCCAGTCGAATTGACCTTGTGAGAGTATTTACACCTAAAAAGGTTTTGTAACTTTTGTTCCCCTTAACACTTTGTAACATCTAATAACTAAATATTATGTGTACTTAACTTGAAACATCTAATAATTTATTTACGAGTGCTTAACTGATCCAAATACCCGAATGAATTGGAGATTTGCCAAATGTTATATCCCTTACCAACTCTGCTCCTAGATTGCAATTGAAACAAGCAAATTTGAAGAAGACTCGGCTATGTAAAGGTACTGAACCTAATCACCCAATCCGTATTAGCCTAAATTGTTAATCAGGTGAAACACCAAAAAATAAAAATGTAAAATACATTGCAATCGAACATAAACTGTAATTTTTGTCAAAAAAATAATAATAAATAACATAAATTGTAATTGGAAAATGAAAACGAAAAACGTACCATCCAAGTTGAGACATGGCATAAGGAAGTCCTAGAATAATGTTAAAGTCTTTATTCATTCCGTAACTTGCATATTTAAGTAAGAAAATGAAGTGTTTCATTGAAGTATAAAAATAGTCTTTTTTTATCTCTTAAATTTAAAATATAGCTTAAACTAATATGTCATTTCATATTCCACAATATTCATATGTATACCTAACTAAATTCTTTCATCTTCTTTCACAATTCCACCCTCAAATTTTTTTGATTTTTTATTTCTTTAATGTTCTCACAGCATTCACCTCAATAGTCATGTAACAATAAATTTGTAGATTCAACTAAGGTCATGTTCATATTTACTGAAGTGAGCTGAACTGAACTGAATTGAACTGAGTTGAACTGAACTGAATTGAACTGGACTGACTGGAACTGAACTGAACTGATTGGAGCTGACTGAACCAAGCTGAAGTGAATAGACCCTAACTATTGAAAAGCATACATCCCTACCTTATAAAAAGTAGGAGATTACGCTTATGAATAGTGAATAGACCTACATACCCTTCAAAATGTTTGTTTACGTTCTAACCCCCTTATGTAATTTCTTACATTTATTCGATGAGCTAACACTTGCAAATAGTAAATGCTCCAAAAAAATAAAAATTCTTAAATGAACCTGGTCCACAATAAATTATTGTGGACCAAGTAGCTGTCACGTGCGTAAGGAATAGAATGACTTAATCGTTTTGGAAATTCAAACAAGCTACAAAATTATTTCATTACCTTTTGCTTTCTCTCTTTTCACATGAACTTCCAACTTCCAAGCTCCATCTTCTCTCTTTAAAGGTCCATTTTCTCTCTCTTCGAAGCTCGCCCATATAAGCTTTTCTCTCTCTGCATTTCAAGACCTCTTAGCCTCTTCTTCAATGGTGATAACTAGAGGCGGTGGAACATTATAGAGGAAGAGGGCCTTCGTTCTTAGGTAAATCCCGATGATGGACATAACGTAACTGCGGTAAATTTCTTATTTTTGAGTTGATTATTGAACTTTTTAAGCTTATTAGGTTGATGCTCTTCTTGAATTGAAGCTCTTTTGGGATTTTTGCTTGAATTTTATGTAGTATTAACGATCTAGGGTTTCAATTTGATCAATTCATGTTGATTTATACTTAAATTGAATCTCATTGTTTTATATACTACCTCTTGTTCATTTTAGTTGCAACAATTTCCTTTTTGGGGTGGTTCACTTTACTTGCAACAAATTTTTTTTTTCCTTTTTTGGTAAGTTGTTGGGTGTAAATTTATATATTTGCCCTTACTTATTTACTAACCTATTATATTAACACTCCTAATCTGTTTTACTTAGTTTACTTATTTTATTAATTAATCTAACTACTCCCACCAAATTTACCCCCTCCTCCTTTAAATTGCTTCATCTCCCAACCACCTTCATTGAATCTGCATTCAATACTGGAAAATGGTTGGGAGAAATAAATTGTGGAAAATTTTTCTAGAAATGAAGCCCCCCCTCTCAAACCCTAACTGTTTAAATTCTCTCTCTCTCGTCGTTTCTTATTTCTCTCTCCTCTTCGCCTACTCTTTCTCCTCCAAAAGCCTACTTCTTCCTCCTTTCTCTCTCATCATCCTCTGTATTTTCACACCGATTCACCCCATTTCACTCTTCAAATGTCTTCTTCTCAACCAAAAATCATTGATCTCGAAAGCCATGAGTCCCTATCTTCTGGATCTACTCGAACTCCAAAAAAATCTGAGCGAACCACGTACATACCTCGTCGTGGTTCTGGGGTGATGAAGCCGCTCCGTCGTGCTTCTGTAATTGCAAGGAGGAAGATTCATGGTGCGAAGCTTGCCGAATACATTTCAAGCGACGAGGATGACAAGCCCATTAAGGTTTCTGGGTCCAAAAGGGCGGTTCCGCCACCTCACATCGCAGATCTGGAGGTAGTGTCCACCAAAGACGGTGGATCTGCTGCTGTGGTGGCTGTTCCAACTGCTTCACCACCACCAGACGCTAAATCTGAGACGGGGTCTTCGTTGTTCCAGGAGCTCACTGCCGGAGAAGTTCTCCAGCCACCCACTTCCCATCCCATGATGGGTGGGAGTGCTTCTGGGTCTGGCGCTAGTAGGAACTAGGAAGCGCTTGAGGGGCTCACCTCCTAGGGGCCAGGATCCTGATGATGTACTGGAGGCTTACCTCCAGATCTACTACCCCCAGTAGTCCCTTCCCCCATACTAATTGGGCAGCGTAATTTCTAAAACTCTAATCTTCTTCTTCAGTTCCAATTTATGCTATATTATGGTATTCATGAGTCCCCTATTGGTTGTTATGCCTAGTCTGATATTGTTTGTTGGTTGGCTTTGATTTGATGTGTTTCCTTTTATTATTGAATATGTTGTTGGTGCATCAATTGTTGGTTGTTTGGGTTTGAATTGTTGTTTTATAAACGAATTGAAATAATCCCCTGATATGTTTGGATATGTTGTTGTGGTATGACTTGTTGGTTGTTTGGATAAGAATTGTTGTTTTGGATTAAATTTGATGAGTCCCCTGTTTTTTTTTTTTGGAATTGAAATGTTGGTTGTGTGCTTCAGTAACTATGGTTGGAGTATGAAACGCATATGTTGGTGGTGTATCAGTTGTTGGTTGTTTGGGTTTGAATTGTTGTTTTTATAAAGGATTAATAATCTTTATCCAGTGATATGTTTGGATATCTTATTGTTGTATGAGTTGTTGGTTATTTGGATATGAATTGTTGTTTTGGATTAAAATTGATGAGTCCCCTTTTTTTTGGATTTGAGAAGTTGGTTGTGTGCTTCAGTAACTATGGTTGGAGTATGAAATGGCCTGTGTATGATTTTGTTCCTTGAGTCCCCTATGTATGATGCATTGAGTCCCCTCTCCCAACTGATTGCATCAAATTGAATCCCATCCAAATGATGAAGGGACTCATCTGATAGCTATTTGAGTGACATGGCTGCTCTAGATATCTCTGATTGAGGTATCTATTGAGGTATCATAACTCATTGATGCCTTGAAAGAGAAATGTAACCTTATCTGATGGAATATTAGTGACCAAAATAGATTGAGTTTCCCTTAATAACCAAAGTATAGTACCATACAAGACTGCCTAACAATGTTTACATCAACTATGTACCAAAATACACCTAACCAATACCAACAAAAACTACAAAAAACATGTTAAGCTTTTACTGGTTAGATGTGGCAGTCTTTGGCTGTGTTGGTTTCAATGTGGTTCCTTATAGTCTTCAATCTGCATCCATTTCCATTTGAAATTCAATTGCATTTGAACTTGGAATTGTGATTGAATCAAGATAGGAAACAACCTCTGCAATTAATTCCTTGTCTACTTGAAGCAATTCTGGTAGAACACCTTGCCTGTCTAGACTTCTTTTTTTCATGTGTGGTATTGTGTAGTTGTTTCCTCCTTTTCTTCTTAAGACCTCAACCATGCATGACTGAAGTGTAATCCAACTGTATTTGTTCAACTCTAGATCAAATCCTTTGAATGCTATTTCAACTTCTTTGATGAGATCATCTAAAGTTTGAGGAAATGACTGATATTGCAGTGATTGAATGACATTGAAAAGTCCTAAGTCTAGAACATTCATGTCTGGTGATTGTGCTGGTTGAAAAACAAATTGTATGTTGAATCCATATGCTTGACATGCTTCTTGAAATTCTGCATCTTGTGTTATTTGGTGAGGCCTAGCATTATCCCATTGGATAGTTATGTTTTTGGGAAGTTGGGGTGGCCATTGTTCATGTATTGTTGGCAACACATGATTAAGTAGCATGTCCCTTATTGCTTCCTTGTTAATTCTCTGGACTGCCTTAGCCTCAATGGTTCCCTTGTCTCTG